TGTAGTCTCTTTATTATGTGCTTGACTACAGAAATAAAACAAAAAAATTACAGTATGTCCTGTTTATATTTGCATCATACATCCTGCATATATGTACTTTTGCAATGGGAAAAAAAAATGTAGCAAGAGAATTGTTCTCTTCTCCTACCTAATATCAAAATGAAACAAAATGGAAGACCCATAATTGATTGCTGAATGTAACTACTTAAAGATTTGCAGTATGTTAATAGATACTTTGCTCAAATGCAGTGACATGAGTTAATTAATGCTCTGCAATAGTTAACAAAGAAATGTTCTTTCTCAGATGCATATAATATCCGGATGATGTTATCGACCGAGATGACAAAAGTTCATGAGAGAGAGAGAGAGAGAGAGAGAGAGGAATTATCATCAAAGAAACAATTAGTGATGAATCTAATGATAAATGTATGGCTAGGAAAGAAAATGCAGGGAAACAGATGGAGGTGACTTACTAATAATATCAATTATGAGAGCAAAAATTTGAGGTGTAGATATTTGAGGAGGTGGAGTTTTTAACAAAGTTAGAAAAAATTTAGCTCATCTTTTAAGAATAATAGTTTTTATTAAACTTTTCAACAATAGCGAAAAATAAAAGGGGGCGAGACCTAAGTAGCAAATCAAAGTGGTTACCCTCCGAATCAAAAGTCCCATGCACCCCAGGCCTGCCGTAGTTTAAGAATGAAGCACAAGCAGTGGAACAAACAATAGTACGTCAAATCCAAAAAAATGAAAGGGACATTTTGTAAAAGGCCAAAGGAGAGATAAATATATTTAAAAGAAACTAAAATGGATAAAAATGCCCTTATTTATTTTTGGATTTCCTAAGGAATCCTTTATATTTACATGTCTTTGGTTTGAAAGTTGAGGGGTTTTTCCGTCTTTTTTGAAAAAAATTTGGCTTTTTCCAAAAGTAAATGTTTTTTTGTGACTAAAACCTAAATTTACTAAAAAGGAAAAGTCGAATCAGCAATGCAGCAACTCACATTGAATTAAAATGGAGCAGCTGTGATGCCTCTTGCTTTGAAAGTGAGGAATCATAGGTCAGTCCCAAACACATTGATTTTTTTTTATTTTTCTGGGCCGAACTTCGTCAACAACATCATCATTTAATTCATCTTGGTCTACCTCTTCGGAAAGAGCATAGGATTGCAGAAGATAGATTTTTTGGTGAGAGCTACCACTTCCACTGGGACTAGCCTCCTCGTCATCGTGGCATTGTTGACCTTGTGCATCAGCTGATTTGGTAGGACAAGTAGTAGTGCTCTTGATGATGGATTTGTTCATCATGATCTGGTTGAGTTGTTCCACATCTTGCTCGTGCACCAAACGAAACGCACACTTCTTCACACTCATGCAAGATTTTTCTTGTCTCCACATTTTCTCTTTAAAATAATAAGTTGTTGACAAAACCTTTATCTGACCGCATTTCTTCACAAATTGTTCACGAGATAGATAAGTTACCCAAAGGTGATCTGACACAACATCGCTTACTTTAAAATTCTTTGAAAATCTTTGTGGGGACCAGCTAATTTCAAAATAATGAAATTCAGAAAGATCATCCTGAACTTCAAACACAGCACATAAAGCAATTCCCATCCACGTGGTACATGAATCCAGAGGTAGCTCCACAGTTAGGGAATCTCCCAAACTTTGATTACTGAACCACTTTGGAATTTCACTTCCAGAAGTTACAATTTCGAATAGGTATTGGAAATCAGGCCAAGGGATTACCTGTACCATATACATAGATATATATGAGGTTAGTAAGTTGTAATTATTATTATAGCAAACAACAAAAGAGAGACAGACACAGAGAGAGAGATAACCTGAAGGTATCGCTGTAGCATTTTCAGTAGTATACTATCGCAGCCTGCATTGTCAACCAATACAAAGCAATTGGCACAACTAAAACTATGATAATGCATTTTGTTGTCTATATCCATTAATGAGCAATTTGACGAAAGATGTGGTTGTTAGCGAGATCCTAGTCTTATTAGGATATTTTTTTCTTATTCTATTAGGATTTTATTTATTTCCTTTTTGTATAGTTATTATGTAATTAGGACTTTTCTTATTTCTTAGTATAACCCTGCTAGGGTTTGTAACATTTTTAAGGAAATGCAACCGGTTATGTCTATATCCACTAATGAGATAAGCTTAGAAAGATCTGGCAATTGTTAGCGAGACCCTTTCAACTAAGTTTTAATTCTTTTAAATAGGACAAGCAGCCAATATCATTGGGAAGATCCCCTTCACAAAGTCCACAATCACTCAGATCCAATTTCCCCAAAGAGCATAAACCATCAAGTGAACCCAACACAATAGCATTTCTTTGATATAAGCAGGGAAGGCCCCACCAAAACCTTGATTTACTAGGCTGTGATCCACTTCCACTTAAGGATAGACAGTAAAGTTTTTTTAAACCATAAACGGAGCGTGGCAGCTGTCTTATAGAAGTTCCACGCACTTGAAGGCATGTAAGAGACTCCATCTCCCCCATGTTCTTTAGGAGTTCGTCAATTTTTGAGCATCCATCTGCATTCAGTTCTTTAAGAGACTTCAAATTACAAATTTCATTCGGAAGACCCGTGAGATTTTTGCAACCCCTTAGCGACAGACTAGTAAGGCCAACCAGACATCCTATCAATGAAGGTAATTTCTCAATGGACGTCTTAATTAAACAAAGGAATAACACATTTTTCATTTGCCCTGTAAATTCTGGAATCTTTTTCAATTTTGTGCAAAAACCAAGACTCAACCTATTAAGACATTTGAGATCTGCAATTGACGGGTGAATCTCAACTAAATTCTTACACGATCGAAAATCCAACACCTGAAGATTCGGAATGCTAGAGAAATCTGGGGTTGTGATCAAGTTTTCAGAGGCAGAAAGGTTCATTTTTTTCAAGTTGGGCAAGTCCTATACAATTCATAACAATGGTAGAACAGATAATTATTAGCTTAGATTTATTTTATTTTTTAAAACAAAATATTTATTTATAATTATATTAAAAAAAACTAATTTCTAGAATGGCATATGGTCCCTACTCTTACCTTTTTTCCATCCCAAAGCCGAACAAGTTTGCTGTGACTCATCTCAAGTGCAATTAGGAAACTCAGTTGAAAACCTGATGGGAGAAATTCAGAAGGATACTGACTCCATTTGATACTTCTTAAGGAATTAGGAAGAATTCTGGGGCTTGAAGAAATCATGACATTATCAAATTCAAGAAATTTCAAGTTAAGCATCTTAGAAAGGGCTTCACAATTCCAATATTCCTTTCCAAGTGTCGCCATGTGTAATCTGATGCCTTTAATTTTGTCCGTTGCATGTAAATTAAGAATAGTAAAAAAAAAAGCTAATTCCACATTTAAGTCTAATAATGTGTTAAAGAGAAATCATATATCTTCCAAGATTATCTTTATATAACTTCTTATCATATTGTTTAGAGTTAACTATTGATTTGCTCCCTAAACTTGTATCTAACTTTCAATTTACCCCATATTCTTTTTTTTTTTAATAAGAAAATTAAGGACCTCAATTATTTTTTTAGTCAATTTTCCCCCTACCGTTATATTCACTCACATTTCATCCAATTAGTGTTAAGAATGGTCACATGCAAGACTTAAATAAAGGGATATTTGTTGAAATGTTACCAGAACTTATACTTTAGTTTCAATTTGTCACCTGAAAAAATAATTTAAGTGAAATGTCACCTGAATTTTTCAAAATCCATAATTTGTCACCTGAGTTTAACATCATCTGATTTTCCATCTATTTTCAAGGGTATTTTAGTCTTTTCATTTTCAAGGATATTTTAAAAATGGAAAAAATTATTATTAAAAAAATAAAGCTTAAATGTAAAAATGGCTGGGGATTAAATGTGAAAAGATATATAATTTTTATAATTTTCAAGGGTCTTTTCATTATTTTTTTATAATGATTTTTCCATTTTGAAAATACTCTTGAAAATAAAAAGACTAAAATACCCTTGAAAATAGTTGGAAAATTGGATGATGTTAAAGTGAGGTGACAAATCATGGATTTTGAAAAATTCATGTGACATTTCACTTAAATTTTTTTTTCATGTGACAAATTGAAACTAAGGTATAAATTCAGGTGACATTTCAATGAATATCCCTTAAATAAATATAAAATAATGTTATAAAACAATAAAGAAAAATAAAAGAAAGCATAAACATTTCCTAGCCCCATCTTGCTCCCAACTCCAGGACCCCTCTTCTCCCAAAAAACCACCTTAACCCCTTGAATTCCTTAGTCCACACAACACCCAAGCCGTGTAATATCTGAGTCATGCTACTCAACCAACAACCCCCACCCGATATGCCCATGAGAGAGAGAGAGAGAGAGAGAGAGAGAGGGAGAGAGAGAGAGAGAGAGATAAACAGAGATGTTGTGCTTGTGGGTTATGGAATGCTTGTATTTTTCTGAATCTTGGTTGTGATTTCTGGTTGGGTATGCTTTGTATTGAGTTTAATTACAAGTTGAGGGTTTGATTTTGGTGGTGGGGGTAACAATGAGGAAGAGGTGGCTGGGTGGGTGGTCTCAGTTTGGGGTGTTGAGAAGTTCTGGGAGGGAGGGAGCAACAGGGAGGGTAGGTGCAGGAAAGGGGAGGCAAGGGGAAGGGCAAGGGCAAAGGGATGGAGATGGCTGAGGGGAAAGAGGTGGCTGAAGTGTTTTTAATTATTATAATTTTTTATTTTTACTTTAATTTTTTTCTCAAAATTTTAATTATTGTCAAGGTGCAAAAATAACCAAATTGCCCTTAAATAGCCTCACATGCTTGGCACATGATATTTTTAAAGGTAAATTGGGTGGAATGTGAGGAAAATTAAAGGCAAGGGGAAAATTGGCTAAAAATAATAATTGATACCCTCAATTTTCTTTATTTAAAAAAAAAAAGAAGGATTGGGGGTAAATCAAAAGTTAGGTACAAGTTTAGGCGGCAAATCAATAGTTAACCCTATTGTTTATGAATACATCAAAGATATCATTTATTAAGTCTAATACTGTGTTAAAAACAATTCATAAATCTTCCAAAACTTAGTATCTTTTATATAAATTCTTACCGTATTATTTATGAATACATGAGAGATATCATCATGATTGCACAATCGACTTCGTCTACCAGGCTCTTCAGGACACTCTCGACGAACAATTTCTAATGCCATTTCCTGTATCAAATCATGCATCTCAACATTCCTATTTGATATAGTTAAGAGTGATTTCTGAACGAGAGCATTTATCCCAATACGACCACATAGGCCACAACTATCTAGTATTTCAATTACTTCCTCCTTGCCCTTTCCCTTATGAAAAAATGCAACATCAAGAAATATATTCTTGTTCATCTCATCTAGTACATCGTAACTTAGTTTGAGTAAATCAAAAATTTCAGACTTATGAATTTTCCGCAGCTTATCCAATTCACTTTTCCATTCATCTTGATCTCTCTTGTACACTAAGCATCCCAAAAGTTTAAGAGCTATTGGAAGGCCTCTGGCATAATTTACAAAACCCTTGGACAATTCCAAGAAACCTTCCTCAGGCTCATTTTTTTTAAAGGCATTCCGACTAAAGAGCTCAAGAGCATCATCATCACCTAATCCCTCTACCTTATATGATACCTGCGTATCATGCTTGACTAGCAGCCGTTCATCTCTAGTTGTAATTATGATTATACTCCCCTTACCAAACCAATCCTTTTTTCCAGCAATTTTTTCTAGTTGGCTTGATTCATTCACGTCATCAACAATAAGAACCTTTTTATTAGATAAGCAATTCTTAATGAAATAGGTCCCCCACTGTTCGTCCCAAACTTGAGTAATTTGTTCCTTCAAGATCGGGAAAAGAAGCTGTCTTTGTAGATTAACAAGATTCCCATGTTCAGAAACCTCTCTAACATTAGAAAGAAAGCAGCTAACTTCAAAATGAACAGAAATGCTCTCATAAACTAGCTTAGCAATGGTCGTCTTGCCAATGCCTCCCATTCCCCATATCCCTATAAAGCGAACATCATCCGTAGGAGCTAATAGCCAATCTATGTGCTCAAGTATAAACTTACTTCCCACTAACTCTGCGGAATCTAACAATTTGAATGTGCGATGCATTTTACTCCACACCCATTCAACAATCTTTTCAATAAGCTTTCTTTCACACCTACAAGGAGGAAAAGTAAAAGGATCATGAAGTCTAAAATATACGTCATGGGTTTTGTTAAGACATATAGAGAAGTTGTTCATTCATGCTTACTCATTCTTCGAATCTATCCCAGATAAATTGGCTACTTCTGTTAAAGCATCTCTCCAGCGCTTTACCTTATCGATGTCTTCCCTAAACCTTTTCTCATGCTCAGCGAAGGCGTCCGCAAAACTGCCGCTTTGTTTTTTCACATCGGAGGGATCCACATTATAAAACACTGGCAGAATTGTGCCTACGGATTTCATGCATTGGAGAATCTTTGTAAGTTCATCCAAGCACCAGGAAGAAGATGCATAATTTGGCGAGAGAACAACGATTGCAAGCCTTGATTCTTCGATTACATTGCAGAGCTCTGAAGAAATAGGTGTCCCTCTTTCAAGCTTAGGATCGTCCTTGAATGTTTTAATGCCCCTGAGCTGCAATTCGTGGTATAAATGGGATACAAAGCTAAGTCGAGTGTCCTCACCCCTGAAACTCAAAAACACATCGTGGTTCGGTTGAGGGGCAGACTGATGAGGTGAAGGAAGAGTGATTTATTTTGAAGAGGAAGGAGGGCATTTCATTTTCGGAAAATGTGCTGTAAGATGATAAGGTGGAGGTCACATGTTGGAAGGGAATCTCCATACACCTTCCTGGAGTCTTCTATTTACCGAATTGTTAGCCAAGGCTTTGCCTATAAAAACTATAGCTTCATTCTCATTTGCACACAGAGAAGAAAGACTCAATAAAATATTAGAAGAGCATTTCTATCGCTATTCTCTAAATTCTCTCTCCAATTTCTTTAGTTTTATAACATTTTGCTTTTTATTTTATGTTATTGTCACGTCAATTATTTGAGTGGTTGCATAATTAATTTTCTTTGGTATCAAGTTTAACGGTTAAATTGTACATGTCCTAAAGAGATAAAATTTTAATTGATTGATCAAACCATCAAAACTACTGAGAATGAATGAAGCTAGAAATTTAGTTTAGATAATAGCTTTGATCTAAATAAATTAAACCAACAATGAGTGATTAAATATTGAACCCTACTCTTGAATCAAAGACAAGTAAAAGAATATCGTTTGGCTCATTCCGTAAAACGAGTTACTCTTGACATATTTCTGTATATGTATATACATACTTATTTGAAAATTGTTTATTTGCAATTCCAAACCAATTTCCCCACATAAAACGACAAAATAGAGGAAAAGAAAATGAAGCAGCGTGGAAGAATACTAAAGGAAGACTTGACCACAATTTCCATACAAAATATGGTAAAGGGACAACTAAATTTCATGGAAGCTTGGCAACAAAAAATTACATATTTTGGATTATAGGGTTAGAGAATTCACAATGGACTCTCTAAACCACCTTCTTAGATAAAATTTAGGGAGGAAGTAAGAAAGCCCACCTCCAACCATGCTCCTTATCCAGCTCCTCCTAAATATGAGGAGAGAGAATGAACTACATTTTAGTCTTTGCGCGACGAAGGGGTCTTCGTCGCGCAAAAATGATTTTAGTCGCACATAATTATGCGCGACAGACGTTTCGTCGCGCACAGTCCGTCGCGCAAAGTTCGTGAAGAAAGGATTTGCGCGACGAATAAAGGTCATTCGTCGCGCGGTTTGCGCTACGTATAACAACTTCGTTTAAAAAAACATTTTGGGACGACCTCAGTGTCCGTCGCACAAATATTGCGCGACGAAACAGTGGTCGTCGCAAAAAAAACTGTGCAACGGACTCTTCCGTCGCGCGAGCTACATGAACTTTGCGCGACGAAACCATATTCGTCGCGCATACACATTTTGCGCAACGAAATTATTCATCGCGCATAATTAAAATATATTTGTCGACATGTTATTTAAATGTTTTTGCGCGACGATTTACGTTTCGTCGCGCAAAAGCAATATATATTATTAAAAAAAAATTATTATTATTTGATTTTTAATTTTGTAAAAAAATAAATTTGGTTTGTTTTTTTTAATTAAAATGAAATTACAATAAAAAGATTAATCGTAAAGAAAACATCTATTATATAAAATAAAAGAAATGTATACAAATTGTAAAAGTAATTATAAAAATAAAAAACTAATCAAATAATGTTCCAAAATCTACTTGGTCATCTGCCACATGCGGCTCGGAGGTATG